ATCGCAGACAGATCTGGTCGAACATGTAGCCTCTTGTCCTCCGTCAAGGCTCTCACCTCTCTCTGAGATAAGGACACTTCCTCTTTGTCCAGCCGTCGCCCCGGGACAAGGCTGTCATTAAGATAAAAGAGGGGTGCTTGTACATCCCTGAGCACCGCAACGCTCTCACAATGTGTCAAGTTCAAAGGTGCATGGTAAGGCAAGAACGGGAAATAGTTTAGTTAAGGATAGAAGGGATGCTGCACAAAGGACAGGGCACAAGAGCAGAGGTGTGTTCAAGCAGACGTTTTAGCACTTTTTCAGTTCTGACATTTCTTCATGCCTCAGTTAGAACAAAAGCAATAAAGAATCCACACCTATACTATAAAATTACATTTCACCATTTTAAAGGCATTTAATTCCAATGAAACTACATGTGTTCAAAGTTTCTCCAACAATTTTATAAACTGGATTACAGCACATTTGATTGTATTGTTGCTTTTGCGCATGTAGACAAAGTTAGGGTGCACGGTCCAGCATAGAAAGCGGAGACTGTAGACCTGATTGTCCCCTTTTTTGTTCAGCGTAGGTAAAACCGAGCTGAATATTTTCCTATATTATTCTTGTCTCTGTCCGTGTTGTGCAAAAAGATTCTTGTACATCTACATTCAATGTACATGCAAGGCCACCACGGTAATGTGAGCGACAGAGACACTCACTCTGCAGTGGGAAACTGTAGCACCATGCCACTAGACTTCAAAGTAACTATTTTCTTTAGCTGTTTTTTTAAAAGGAGTTCGCCTGCATGCTTGAGACCCACTGAGAATAGACCTGCTGTTTTTTTGTTTCCGTCCACAAACCACCAGTTGGAAACCACTGCTTTCAACCATTGTGTGGATACTAAAACTTAAAAAAGCTCGTTAACTCAACACAAAATCTAATTCTTCTCTCCACTAGGCTACCCCAGCCTATATTTCATCTTCAATGCAAATACAATTTCAACTGCGTCCATCAACACTGTTATTCTAAACCTTTCTTGGGCGTCTCACGGTGTGATGCAAAAGGACATTAGTGAAGAACACAAACTGATACTGCAAATGTTCACAAGCCTGCCATCAGCAAACAAGCCATGATCTATATTTGTCAGTGCCTTGTGTCGACTACAGAGTGTCCCTCTTTTTCAGCCCATGTCGTCAAGATTCCTTGGCGGAGTAAAAAGATGACTGAGTCATGTAAGCTGAAGGCGCATTAATTGTCTAAAAAGGGATTCAGCAGTCTACAAAATGCTTCGACCACCCAGTCTGCCCTGCTAAACCCAGAGAGTGGGATGTAGTCCAAGAAACCACTGAGTGACTATTACTAAATAGGTCTAATATCAGAGAGTAGACAGGCAGGAAAAAACCTTTTATACCTCAAGTACAGTCAAGATATTTTAGATATTTAAGTTCGAAATGCATCACTTGTTAAGCAAACGTGTCAAACATTCCAGTTGAGAATTTGTTGCAGTAAGCATTTCTAGAGTAAACCAATACTCTATAAGAGGCTGCGCGATTTGGAGAAAAAATCATATTGCGATTTGTATATAATGTTAACAAATTGTATGTTGAGTCTGACATTTTGAAATATGTCATTCTCAACTCGAACAGACAATGTTAAACAAGCATAGGTAGATATAGAAAACTGTTTTTAAAATAAAATAGACATTTTTGCAAACTTGCTTTGATCAACAGTACAACTAAATGATGGGCGTAACACTCGTTACTCACACACAGATTACTGAACAATATTTATAACAATACCTTAAGTAAAACAGAACAAGGGGAGCGTGCTGCTCTCAGGAGGGGGCGGCTAGAAGCAGCACATAATGCCACACTGGCCTCCTGGCTCTGGCTCAACCTACATCTGTCCACTGCAGAGACTCTATCCTGAACCTGGAGGAGGAGGAACTAGTATAAATTTATTCAGGGAGCCTCACTGAGAGCAACCTCTCATTTGCAGGAAGGCCCTGATCACAATCACACCTTTACACATTCACACCTGGAAGCTGCCCAGTACAACCGCAGCCTGGTCAGAGCAGTTGGGGTTATGGGCCTTGCTCAAGAGCACCTCAAGGGCAGACTGCAGTGCACACAGAGACGAGTGTCACACACAAACACACAGCACACCTTTTTGTTTAATTAAATCACACCCTTTTGCATATAATGGCACAGGGTGACATCACGATTAATCATGCAGCTTTATGCAATTTCACGACAAATACCACAGCAAGTAATGTAAACAACGTTAGCTAAGTTGTGGGTTAGCTAACTGTATCTACCCACATCCAGCACACCAGCTCCAGACAGCGATACTCACAACTCTCCTGCTGCTATAGCTAACATCACAACAACAGCATCTCTTGGTGAACTAAAAAGTAAGGTAAGGTCATTAAACGTTACCTGATACACAAATCATTGTTGGAACAGCTATAATAGTGTTATGTGGCGGGTCACTTTGTTTGTTTCCCATTTACAGAGCCGGGGTTCAGTACAAACACCACATTTTTTTTTCAGCACACACACAGAACAATGTAGGAATTGTCATAAGAATGAAAGTAGAGATTGGGAGACAAGTTCAAAAGCCTCCTACTTTCACAGACTTGGTCAATCAACACACGAAGTGGGCGTTATTTCAAATCGTCTGTCATGGAAAGTTACCAAAGAGTTAGACCCCCCCAGCTACGACACTGAAGAGGCGTGGAAGAGTCAGTTTCAGATGCTATTTAACTTTCAGAAGAGCGCTGCGCCATACTTGTGGTGCTTTCAGATTTGGAAGCAGCTGGGTATTAAACCCCAATACCTTCTTGATGCAAACAAAAAGGTGCTTGAGTATGAAAACTGTCCACTACTGAAGGCTGGCTCTGAACGTGGGCACAATTATAATTATTCTTCTTATTCTTTGACCAGCTATAATCATAATTTTCCCAATTTTATACTGTATGTAAGTTCTTGTATGGCTGCTAGTGTTTAGACAACATTTAACTTTAGAGAACTTCAGAATATTTAGAAATTCGAAGAATAACCTGGATTGCTGCTCATGTGATGTTCAGTAAATACAGCAGAATGAGTCCAGTTTTGCTAAAGCTGCTGACTGATTGAGTCACAACTTTGAATACACATGTGTGGACGTGAACATGCATTCAGTCATCCGCCTTTTTATTTCTATTTTTGTGCATGTAGGCTAAGTGGAAGACAAGAGAAAAAAGTTGAGTCAAGCCACGCAGAGGCCAGAAGTACTGCAGCACAAATGAATTTGCCAAACAGGCGTTCTGTTGCAGCCAAAGGCAGTTTTCCTCTCGTGGGAATAACACAGAATGATCCATCTTCACACTCGGATAGTCTTTTACGCATCATGTATGAATGTTTCCAAGAAAATTGATGCTTAAACACACCTGTTCTTAAAGATAAGCGTTGTGAACTGTAACAGCCTTTTCATATTGCATAACAGGGACTGAGCTTTCAATTTTTTTGACAAAGAAATCTGCACAAATTGATGCTTTTTTTTTGAGAATCATTTGGAATTAAATTAGACCAAACAGTTTCACAGACAACACAGATAGGAAAGTGAGTTATGAAGTCAAAATTTCCAATCCAAATATCAGTCTATCGGCATTGTGTTGTGTTTGAAAGTCACTTTAACTCTGCCTTATGGCATAATATAGATTTTAACACTTTCCATTAAGCTACCACTGATTGTCATTGGGCCAGCAGCACAGTATACAGTGCAAACAAAAAAGGGGATAGAAAGAAAAACAACTCCACATATATAGATGAAAACAGCAATACCACAAAGGAAGATGTGGGCTATACAACAGAACCAGGAAGCAGCTCCAACCTGTGCCAACCACATGCAGGCTATAACAGCAATGTGTGATTTTGGGGTGCCCTCATCTCTCTCTCTTACCAAAGCTCGATTTTGTGGAAGCAGTAAATGTTATTATTAAATTTCTCCATTGTTAAAATTTTCCAAGAGTTTTTTTTTTTTTTTTTTTTTTAAGATTAGAAAATGTAGAACAAAACAAAATCACGTTTCCTAGAAAAGATCTCATTCTTTACGGGTCATCCCAAGCAGCATCGACTTTTATAAATGTTTCTCCTTTTTATTTAGGCTACACAAACATCGTTGCCCAATTCGCCCAGCTTTTTTACTATGAGGCTTGGTAGGTTAGGACCAAACCGGCTGATACGGTCGACAATATTTGTATTATTATATTTTCTCGTCTAGGTATATAGAAAAGCAGGCTTAAATGGACAGGATTTCATGGAGTTTAGTGCGATCCAAAATAGCCTTTTTTGACATATTAGACGGAATTTGATATAATATTATTTTATTGTGGGCTAATTATTACGGTGTACAGCTACCGTGGTAATAATCAGCTTATTCTAATTATACAGTATAATTGATAGTTCTTCAGATATTGCCATAACCCCTAACAGCAGATGTTTCTGGAGTCGTGCTCGTTGCGCTTTCCCTCACGTCAAGAGAAAGTGACGCCAACTCGAAAACGCTACTAATTTAAGGAAAACATGATTATCGGCTAAACCACATTTGACATAAATTAATTTAAGAGCCTGTCTTATTTATTCGGACTGATCCTTCGATTCGGCGTACAGATAAGACATGTTGCAGCGGTAGGTCCAATTATACAACTGCTTTGCATCGTAGCTTCCGCTAAAATTCAGCGGGCTGTGCTGTGGTGAGTCGCTACAGCCTGTCAATGAAGTTGTAATTTCACCAACATAACGTCTGCAGTTTTCACTTCATACACACGCCGTGCAAATCGGACTGCTTTATTTGTTAATTTTCTTTACTTGGAGTGTTTCACAGCCATGTGCTTAGAACGTAAAGCGTAAAATGATTAAATTGGCACATTTTACAATGGAGTTTTGACTTAAGGAAGACAGTCGCCATGAACTCGAGCAAAAAAAATATATAAAAAAATATATAGTATATATGAAAGCCACCCATTAACGGGTACTTACGGCGTGCTTCTGTGTGCTTTCAGTCAAAGGTTTTGGGAAGTCTCTGCTAAAGCAACCGACCCTGACGCAGGTGATGCTGCAGCGTCCAAACTCCACAGCGCCCAGGAGAACGCACTGACGGTGGAGTGGCGCTCTGCGGGGTGAGAGAGGGAAAAAACACACACACACAAGAATCACGGAATCACTGGGCAATATCACCCAAGCAAGGTCTTCCCTGGCTGCTCCAAAAGCAGCCTTTTCTTATTGGACAGGAGGAAAGAGGTGGGCGCTGAGAAATGAGGCCACATTGGCGCATTACGCACAAGAACACACACTGATTGGACACACTGCCTACTGACAGAAATCATGTTTTTAATCGCCATGTGTAACACTAGCACAACTAAAATGCTCTGGAGTGGGCTATTTTACAGTGTAATTTAATAAATGTACAAACCACCAAGACATTACATTCAAACTGTTTTATGATTATGTTAAAATATTCAGGATTTTATTCATGGCAATTAGACTTGACAAGACTAAATTAAAAAAGAGGAGCACCAATTAACAAACTAATTCCTGTACTAGCCTTTTCTGGATCTTCATCAGGGAGTTTGCTCAGCTGTGATGGAGATGGATCAGTAATCAGAGGCAGCATCAAGGGGGCATCAGGGGAGGCAGGCCCCTTCAGACAGAGGGTTTGCCTCCTCAGGTTGTACAAAACGTGTCATGTTTTTATATATGCATATTTTAATATACTTAAAACCTTAAAACAAACACGTCATGAATGTGACGTGATGATAGCTTAAGAGAAAAAGTCAGTTAAACAAAATTGATAGACACAATACAATGACATGACAATCCGCTGTGTGTTTGATGATGCTCATTTAAGTCATGTTAGTTAGGCTATTTATGCTATTTTAATTGCTGTTCTGATTTCATCTAAAGAAGGTCAAGGATGAACTTTTGAGCATTTAGAGGAAAGTCAATAGAACCTAAGATGAAATGATGTGTTTTTACTTGTTCTTTTGCTCTTACTCTGAATTCCCTGATGGGGAGGATGAGCTTGATGCAGTGGAACACAGTGAAGACAGCATCCACAGCAGAGGTAGAGGATGGAGAATTAAACTGGATGGAAATGTACAGGTAGGCAGATATTGTGCAAATTGAATCGAGCAGATAGATGAATTCTAATCTAAAGAAAAAGTGGTTAGGTTGCACTCACTGAAATGCATGTAGACATCAGGCCTTCTGCAGACTGTCTGACTAGTCTAAGTAGGAAAAGCACAGGTGTTACTCATAAAGTAAGCAATGGCTCTGCCCTATTCATGCGTCCATGTAAGCCTCTGCAGAGAGGAACGTGTCGCTCACAGCTGTGCCTTCATTCTGTCACATGTCAAAATGTTGACGCAGGATGTGCTTCAGTGATCAGAACTTCACATCAAGCAGATTTCACATGAAACTCTCTAATGTACGGAAGCCCTAAAGGGCCATACATTCATACATTTTATTTACTCTGTCTTCCCGTGATAACAAGTTAATTAATGTCATTATCTTGAAATAATGTTATTTTCCCGGGATTGTTGGATAATTTAATTTTCTCGAGATAACAAACTGAAGTAACTCATTTTCAAAGAAATTTGGATTAAATAAAATGTGTGACCTCCTAAGGCTTAGTGTTTTGACTAGTCATAATTATAATGTGAGCAGTCTGATTTATAATTCAAAGCACCTGCTACCACAAACTGACAATTCATATTACGGATTATGGCTGAAAGATATCTATAATGACAACCTAATTGTCATTTATTAGATCGAAGGGGTTGACAGTACAAATCACATCACGTCCACAAGCCAAAACTTTAATTTAATAATACTTTATCGATTATTATTAAATAATTGCATTTTGACTATATCGATAATTTTATTTAATATTTATTGTAAAGGCTTTTTAGGTCTCTGACACTAAGATATCACTGGTCCAAATATAAAACTGGAGTTATACTAGTCAACAGTAAAACATTTCTTTTCTATCTCAGTATGTTATGTCACAGCATTAACATATCCTCATGTTTAATTTCCTCATTTCACCATGTTTTTCTTTGCTGTTTCTGCTGTTACTACCAGGCACTAATGGCTCAGTTTCCCCGCAGGAGTCACTGACATTTCATCTAGTTTAACCTTATTACAGACGCTCAGATCTGTGGATAAACCCCCACCTCACGTTTACTCCGAATTAAGCCCTGTAACAACAGCACTGGAATGAAATTTCAAAAATGCTGTAAGAGCTGTAATTTGCGTAGCTGTACGCGGAGCATGTTGCGTTGTGGAACACGTGACCCCAAACATCTCCACAACATCTGGATTTACTAGCACTTATTAACATTCCTCCCTCCTCTGGAGCCATAAATTTGGACTTTGAGGAAACTCATTACATTTTAATAGCTCAGATGTTCCACATAAACATAATTTAGGAACAGGGGGCTTTGGTTGTGACTAAAAATAAGAGCTACACATGGCTCATGGCCTCCGATGAACTACACTGTGACATTGTGACCTCTTTTTTTTTCATATTCTTGTTTGATGGTTTTATTTAGAACATCTGTGAGTCTTATTAGTATGAAGATGATTGAAAAATATACAAAAACAGGATCTAAAGTGAAGGGTTACCCCTTTTTGACCCGTCCATAAATCTTTATGAGGTTCCTTTCAAAGTACATTATAGACCGATAAAAGTTTTCTGACAGTAAACTAGAATAAAGTCTGCTTTATTGAAAATGTAGTAAACGTTGGTGGTTATTGTGTCCGGATGTCTGTCATTTTATCCATTTGTTGCTACGTCACATCAAGCGTCAGTCTGACTTCATCCACAGTCCCTCAATATCCTGTCTTTGTTCTCTATTTATTTGTGCATCTTTTCTTTTCTTGTTATTTTTCTCCTTATCCTAGGTTTCTGGGACACCTCACATATTCATTTATTTTATAATTTGAATATTGGATAAACACTTAGAGGCTAATATGCAAGAGAAGACAAATGAAGCTTAGCCAAAGTTCAATCAGAAAGACTATCATTCATGCTCACTCTCACTGTTTATTTCAATTAGCAGCTGACTGCTCCACAGCACATCCATCCACATCTTCACCACCATAAAAAATGATGTCCCAATTATCTACACTCCATAAAATAACCCTGAATAAAAGACGTAAGATGAGAAGATCAAAATTTATTTAATCTCTGGGCTGTGCAGTTATGGAGACCGTAAACACTGTGATTGGCCAAACTGGAAGGTTACATAGAAATGTGTCTACTATTTGTTTCAAATCAATATCTTTGATGAAGTGGTGATGGCACAGTGGCCTTTGGTGTGGGAGGCCAGCTTTTGATTTCCACTGCTTGAAAAAACAACAACTTTGTAGTGTTTCCAGACAGTTTCAGCACAATGTTTCATTCTGCCAAAAAATAACTTTAACTCACAGCTTTCATATTGACAGCTGCCCACATTAGTTTGCAGTTCCTAAAAGACTGGTCTATAGCAGCTAAATGGACAGGATTGTGTGTTTTCATTTAATTAATTAATTTAAGATTAGAAAAAATATTTAAAAAATGAACTAGATAGACTTGAGAAAACAAAGGAAGGCTCAGTTGATTCCTTAGCAAAGTAAATCTGTATGTATCTCATTTTTTTGTTGTGTTTTTCGGCGAGACCAGGGCTAAAGGAATGATTTGTTAGGACTGGACTGGATGTGTTTAATTCTTTATATTATATCTATCTGTATTATTTTTGTTTTATATAAAACTAAAACTAAAAAAGTCTGGCACCTTACAGACAGAATCCGCAGGAATCCTGATGAAAATGCCAGCCTCTACGGTGAGGAGCTAATTCCAGTTTTCTGTGATCCTTTGCAATTTCTGTTGTTGCTGACAGGGGAACGTGGAGCTGACTGACTAACAATCATTTAGACTTTTATGTGACTGAAAATACAGATTTCCAGGTTTCCCTTACAGTGAATCTCATCTCATCCTGGAGACCTTCAGTAAATCCACAGCACAAACAAAAAAATCCAGGAATGAGTCTCATGTTAAAGAGCTCTGACACATTTCTGTTTTAACTGTTTTCACATCAAAGATCAGAAAGTGAAATATTTGGTATTGTCTCACATGACAGAATTAACATTTTCAGGCAGCCATTCTCCTTTTGACCCTCATCCTGCTGTCAAGGCACATTTAATTCTTAGGCCCAAACATATTAAAGAAATACAGAAGAAATGTTCCGGTGTTTAGTATGGAGACATTTTCACTTTATTTAAGGGGCCGTGTGCAGTATTAAACATAAACGTTGCCAGCGGGTTTATGTCATTGAAGGAATCATTTCCACACCGAATGCATCCCAGATTTATATCAAATATATATATATAAGTAGCTGCTTTGTTGTCAAAACAATCAAAAATCCTATGGTACAAACTAATTAAAACTATCATTCTGAAATCTAAAAAATCTGTAACCTTTAATTCGGTTTTCTGTCAGACATTCCTTTTACTGGGACATGTGCTCAGGTTTATTGTGGTGCACAGTGACTCAATTACTGTACACTGTGTTTTAAAGGAGGCAGCCAGGCGAGAGGAAGCCCTGCAGCGAAGTTTCATCTGCTTAATCACCAACACCACTGAGGCACGGGATGATTCCTTACCATCAGGAACGCCATTAAAACACTAACTAGAATTTAAGTTCTTGTTTCTATTATTCACCAAACAGGTGTTGAGGAGTGATGATAGTGTTAAAAAATCTCAGATCCATGTGCTGTTAACAACAGCCGAGCTTGTGCCAGCACCCCGCAGCAGATATGAATGAGTCAAGTGTGACTGAGCTTTAGAGGAGCAGAGCTGATCCTGCTTTCAATGTAAGGGCCCCCAGACTCCTTGGTGTTGAAAACATAAGCTGACCACTCAGGCCCTGGGACTCTGGGGCATTTTCTAAGCGTGCTTACCGTGTGAGATGACTACTAGGGCCCCTGGTTGGCAAGCTGTAGAGGCGAATCATACTGTTTGTGCTTTTTTGTCCATATCCTTTCTCCTTCTGTCACTTTCAGAAGGTGTTTCTGGCTCTGAAGCTGCAGGATCTGGATCTGAGGTTGCTAGCTCCTTGCTCCACCCATGTTCCTACTCGACACCTTCTGCTACTATTATTATTATTAGTCCTCTTTTTATTATCATCGCTATTGCTTTCAATAACGGTTATTGGTTCCATTCCATAACGTTGTCATGCTGCACTTTTAGTGAATGTACAGTATGCTACTTTGACCGTCGCATACTTCTACAATACTGCATCTGTTCTTTTTTATTCCTTTGTGCTGCTATGTCGACCAAAATCTCCCCAACGGGGGATTAATAAAGATATATCTTATCTTATTTGTCCTCAAAGATTATGTTGCAGCCACGTTGCGCCTGTTGAGGCGTCGAGCCATAATATTTCAGTGAATTAAAGATGTATTTCGACTAAAGCAGAGTTGGTGCTTGTTGGAACAGTGGAAAGACAAAGATAGTTTTGATGAGTTTTTTTTTGTTTCTGTCCAGCTTGAATGAAATTTGTTTTCAATCAATAAAGTTAAAAAACGACATTTTGAGTTTATATTGTGCTCACATGGCACATATTCTGAAATAAGGTTAATAGTACACACTGCAACTTCTTGCCCCAATGATCCTTGTTGGATTAATTTGACCCTGCTAGTAATTTGACAGTGTGTAAACAATACATTAATTTAAAAAGAGAAACCGTTATTTATTTAAATAAAGGAGTCATATGATTGTGATCCCTTTACATTGATTTTCAAAGCCCAGTGAAATTAAGTAAAAGCAGTTGCTTTCATCAAGATGAAAGGATGAGAGCCCACACACTGCATATTGTTCCTCCGACACCCTCATTAGACCATTAAACAACGTTTGGATGCACAGGAGGATCTCGACAGGTCTTCATCGGGTCCTGTTTGATCTGACAAAGATCCCCGAGTGGATTGAAACATTGTTTGATGGTATAATAAATGTGCTGCTGGAGTATTGTACAGTGTGTGGGCTCCCATCCTTTGATCCTCTGGGCACCTTCAAAAAAAACATGACGCATGATGTTGTGTTTGGAAACTGATTGGCAGTCATGTACAATGCATACAGGGGTTTGTTAATGGGTAAAATATGCAAAACCACAGCTAAGGATCTTTAAATATACATGAATATCAAGTAGGTTTCTGAAGCTTTTCCATAAACATCAGCTCCGTGGAGCTCAGTGCAGAGTTTGACATGACATTTTTATTTAATATAGTCTTATAGTCTTGCTGACGGAGCAATAGGCCAATAGTCTGCTCTGCTAACACTGGATTGAACTCTATACTGTACACACATAGGTGAAAGTCATATTAATCTGGTCTCGCCAGCACTTTACAGCACAATTGGTACATAAATGGTAAAGCCTCAATCGTAGGAGAATGCTAATGGAGTCAAACTCATTTGTGCAGGGTTTCTGCTTAGTATTCATTTGTGTGAATTCTTTGCCATAAAGCTAAAAGCTGGATTGTACAATCCAATTTTATAACCCAGAGCAGGGTTATAAAACTGGATCATACATTTTACTGTCACAATTTATTGTCTGGTTTGTGACAGAAAGCACAAGTACTCACTATGTGCCCAAGCTTCCAGCATCACCTTTGTGAGGATGTGCAAAAAATAATCCAATTTTGTCATGTCAATTTTATTTTTACAGCCCAATATCAGAAATTCGCTTCTTTGACTTTGGTTTGCTGTAGCACCTTCTGCTGGGACCGGGCCCTCAGACTGCAAACAAATAAAGCTCTCAGCCTTTCCTGTCATCCAACGGTCATCTTAGCTGAAGAATATTTAAACCACCTTCCCTGTTTTGTCTGCTGTCATCCACCACTCCACTGTCAGATTTTATAATGGACAGTACCGTAGACAAGTTTGAACCCTACTGGAAGGAGGAACAGGAAGTTGAATTTTTTCTGTAACTATGCAAAACTATAAAAACAACAACAAAAATACTGATAACTGCCTTGTAGTGACTTGTAGTGACATGACTGTTGAGACCAAACCACTACAATTACTAGCCTATTTAAGTGCCTATAAGAACAACAAACTGTTCAGATATGTCGGGCGTAACCGTCTCCTGTGCTGATGGATTATTATTCCTGCAGATGAAAGCAGTCTCTCAAACGGAGCTGAAGAGGGGAGAGTTTTGTTAAAGGGTTTCACACGCGCTCCAGCCGACCTGGTCTTGAAAATACTTGAAAGTAACTGAAATATGATTTCAAATACAAGTAACAGGAATACTGCCCATCTCTGGTTGCCTGTTCGCATCACATTTGAAACATTTCTAAATCAAAGGCCTGCACTGAAATGGCATCACAGCTGAGGATGAACAGGAACCTTCTTTTTACCAATAGCTTCTGTTTTTCGTTAATGTTATTTCCCAAAGTTTGTGTTAAATAAGTTAGCAGTTTTCAAGACTAGTGTTCCCGTAAATCAGGTGTTCACATCCAATTCATCGTTGGCCTCCGTGTTCCTGTTCCGTGTCAAATCAAACATGTTTAGTTGTTGTTAGAAGTCCGGAGACGTTTGCCTGTCAGGACACTTGTTGACTTGTGACCATTCACCCTCTTCCTGCCTCTCTCTGCTGTGTTGACTTAACGTCAACCCGTGAGTGTCAGCTGGTGACGAGCCGGAGTGTCTCTCCTCAGTGCAGGAATGCAGGACAGCCAAATTACAAAACATGTCATTTAACACTGCAGTGAAAGGGCCTTTAGAAAGAAGAGAATATGCCCATTCCTGTCTGAGAGACAACTGAAGTCCAACGTCTCAGGAACAGGTCCATTTATTCAGTATATATGTTTAAGGCTGCTAACAATGAGCTGATTGCTTTTAATTTGATACGGTGCTTTTCTCATAGTATCCATTATTAATGAGGCCTAATGGCCCGCAGCAGCACTGAACCTTGTATTGATGAGTTTTTTCTTACCTCTAATCTAATCATAGCAAAGGCTCCCAGCAGGCTGGGGGGAAGGGAGGAGGGCTCTCTTCATTTTCTTCTGTATCTCCTTCCCAGACCGAACATACACTTAGTTGCGTACTTTACTTGAGCGAGTCCATTTTACAACATTTTTAGTTTCAGCTAGCTATAGTTTCTTTGGATTGAACATTCATTTATTAGCAATAAGATGCAATGTTATGGATAAAACTACAGTATACTACAGTATATAAAATTGTTTAAAGTAGCTCCAGTTTAATGCTGCTACACATTAATATATCACATATAACACTTGCATTTTCTTGATAATCCTTAGGCTACATATAAACATTTTCAATGCCGGCCCTTTACTTGTAATGGAATATTTTTACAGTGTGGTATTGCGACCTTTACTTAAGAAACGGCTTTGAGTAATTCCTCAGTCAGTTGTGTGCTCCGTCATATGCGTCATTTGAATGATATCTGAGTACGGCATTTCAGAATTATGGAAGTCTATTTCTGCCAAGTGACAAATTTCAAAATGATCAGTACAGTTGTGTCGGAGTCTCCTGGTGAACCAGTGCTTGAGATGCAATCTGAATGTCCCTGGTTTGATTTGGCATGGGAAATGTGTTGCACGTCATCTCCGTTTCTCCAACTGTCACGATCAGCATGTCTAAAATGACAAAACAATATTGAGATGGCATTTACTGCACTCTCTTCAGTAATGCAAATCTTAGAGGTGATCCCACCTCCCAAAAATGCACAACAAGGTACACTAATCTACGTCTTTATTGAGAGTCACGACTCTTGTCAGGTAATTGTTGATCAGGAGGTTCCTTCTGCTTATTTTTGGGGGTTTTTTTGCAGGAGAGGCTTCCACTAAGAAATAAAATCTCAACACCGGAAGTCAGTGTGTGTGTGCCATCGCTTCCAGACTGATCACTAAATATGTGTAATTAATAAACACATGGCAATTTATGTTATTGACATATATGTACATTCTTACATACACATATGCGTCAGTACTTACAAATGTAGGTATACAGTATGTGTATATATAGTGTGCACATAAATACATGTATTTAATCATTTCTTGTAGATGAACATAATCTTAACCCCCCACCAAAAAAGCACACATTACAATAATTCAGGCAATTATAATTGAGGCAAGTTAGCTTATTATTTTTCTAATAGTTTTCTTTTACTATGTCAAGTGTATATTTTGAGTCACAACTTTAGAATTTTTGGAATATTAAAAGGAAACTGATCAGAATTTATAGGTACGTTTTCAGGTTATTTAAGTTAAATGTTTTATGTGTATTACATTCATGTCATGTTCTCTCACGCGTTTACATCTGTTAGCCATTGAGCTAGGAATGGAGGAACAGGCCAGCTCTGGAGTCACTGTGTCCTGTCAATTTCAGTTATATATCATCCAGCAAAGAAAATTTTGAGGATGTACCTGCTCATGACGCTGAGTGGACAATTACAAAACTACATGGCTGAACACGTGTAAGCCATGACCACCAGCTAGGTATCACACATTTATTATGAGTGTTTCTCATAACATCTTAGAATCATAAAATACATCATACTCATACTTATGAGATAGTGTCTCCAAAGTATGAGCTGTACAAGTCATAATAATGAAATAAAAGTTTCTCTTAACATCTCAAAATTGTTTGATATTGAAATTAAAATATGTAAAATATAAACAGAAGCATTTTTTTTTACGAGACAGGAGCTTATAATTATGTCAAAAGTCATAGTTTTCAAGAGTTTTATTTTCAAGTGGCAGAAATGAGCTTTGTTACAAATTAATTTTATAAAAATTTATTTAAAAAAAAGAGACGCTGGTGCATTTCAAGACATCTACATCTGCATTGTGCTGGGGAATGCTGGGCTTTATAACTGAAGACAGGATGGAGGCATGTAGCAGGAGTCTCTCCGCAACGCGGTGGTCTGCTTATTGATGACAGTTTGGCTGTGTTTTCATTCAGTTTGTGGCTCCGTGTTGCCCTGACAAGATGTTCATTTACATGATCAGTGGAGTTGCTATGGTTTTGCTGATGAGTCACTCAGTGTTGGGAGCTGATCTTATTCTCATTCAGCAAGACGCTGAAAATAGAAGAGTGGGAATGGTTTTGTAGGTGTTGATAGAAACAAGGCAGGGTTGCGTGTACGTGCACAGTTTGATTATTAAATGTTCTGAGCCAATACAAAACACCTGAAAATAGACAAATGTGACTGTAAATGTACTATGATTTATTATTATTGAAGAAGAAACGTGGATACAAAACTGAGAGGATATCCGTTAGAGTCAACATTTACAAATACTACACTTTATGCCACTCATCTGTCACTCTCTGTCTGGGAGCAGCATCCTTTAGTCAGTGGTTAAGAGAGGTGACGGGGTACAGCATTTCTGCTTCTTCCTCCTTTTAAACCCAAGGATGTGCCGGGCTTGGGTTTTCGTTCCTGGGATTCGTAGCTCTGAGTCTGTGGAAGCACTTCAGTTGAGCCGCTGCTGCTGTTAGCTGGGACCTTGCTCTTCTTCCTGCCTCATCCTCTTCCTCAGCTGCTCACCGATGTCAGCCAGAGGGTTCATTTTGGCAGAGAGGGTCTTTACGGCGTTGCTGAAATGGATGGTCTCCGTTTCCCTACAATAAAGGCACATTTTTAAAGGAGAGTTCACTGCTAGTGGTGCAGGTTGTTGGCAGAACCATGAAGCAAAGAGAGTATGAGTATGAAAAGCTGCTTACAGGAGTTTGCGTTTCTGCGATTGTTTCATCTGACTGAAATCTGTTGGCTCGGGTCTCTTCACAGGCCTGAAGGGAGGAGACGGGACAAAGACAGGGAGATTTTCACACGCAGGACTAAAACATAACAGGACAGTCCATGGGAATTTAAGCTACAGTTTAGTGATGAGCTGTAGCTCGTGTGATTCATGTTCACGTCATCGGATAACTCTTGTCAGCTGTATAACTGTTGTTACTAAACATCCTTTCAGCCAGATAATTACTGCTGTATTACTCTAACACAGTGTAATTAGGTCTGTGTTTTGACAGGTGCAGAACATTCATTCTAGACGACTAAGAAAGATATGGCAAGATTTGACTGAAGCAGCAGAGAGGTAAGATGTTTTTCAGTCAGAGAGTCCGGACTCTTACTGACATACCTGACCTGCCACAGGGTTGAATAGTCAAGACCGCTGCAGCACAAGCCTCTCTGGTCTGCCTCGTTACATCCTGTTCAAGCAGCGACAATGAGGCCTTCCTGTCTAATCAGTCTTCCTGAAGAGGATTTAAAGTGAATCATTGGGACCCGGGGCTCCACGAGTGCCAGTATTTCACTCCCATGGGCCCCTAAAAATAGAGTGTGTGAGGAAAAACTACCGTAATGTTTCACCCACCCCGCTATTCGTTCAAAACGTAGTCACCTTGAGCAGCTCCTTATACAAAATGGCAAGCGAGACGCATCGACGGGGAGAAAATAAGCAACGTTTGGGTTTTGTATTTATTTAAACCCAACTATATTGAAACTGGATTAATCGCCATTTTTTTAAGAAATAACTTCAAAATTATCTGATGTAAGTTTCTTATATGTGAATATTTTCTGTTTTAATTGCTCCTCTATGACAGTAAACTGAATATATTTGGGTTGTGGACATAACAAAACAGATGATTGAAGATGCCACATCGGGCTTTGGGAAACAGCGATTGACATTTTTCCCCACCACCTAACAACTAATCGAACTAATCGTCAGGAAAATAATCAACAGATTAATCTGTAATTACAATAATCGTTACTTGCAGCCCTTCCAGGTTGTGAATTGAGCCTCTGAAGTGGAGAGATCTAGATTTAACCAGAGGCATGGTTGGCACTGTACCATTATGTGCTGCTTCAAGTCGCCTCCTCCTCCTGAGAGCAGCAAGTTGAAGTTATTGTTATAAATATTGTTCAGTAATCTTGTTGTGGCGTGGGTTGTGTGGGTGCTGCTAGTGTATTGTGTATTCGTCCCTAGTTCAAAAGCTGGATTAAAAATCCCACGTTTCACAAGCCGCAATGCACCAACCACAGTAGAGGTTTCTGTGATGAGTGATCAGTGTTTTTAAAGCGCTGGGTCCGTGCTTTAAAGCTGTTTTTTACCTCTCAACAAACAGAGAGAAAATGTGTTTCAGTGTTCTAAGGTCAATGCAGAGTGTGCAGATACGAGGGTCTTCACTTCATAGTCAGACACATGTATGTAACATATTGCTTGTTAATAAACTCTGTACTGTGTTCACACGTGTTCCTGGGCGAAAAAGTTAGCGTAGAGCCCTGACACTGTAGACGAGAGTGTGGGAAGACACCAGCAAAACAACTGTCTGACCATCCACCTCCATGAGCAGTTATGACTGCGGAGTAAGATACTGTGACCAAAATCGGAATATTTTCAGAAAAAATAATCTGAAATGTTCATGACCCCAAATCCAATGTTTAATATAAAACTCAAACTTTATCTCAAAATTTCTAAAATGATAAAATATCAATAAATTACAAATTTATCTATTAAAATTATGGAAAAAGGTGGAGTGTGCGCACTGGATTATAGCTCCCGAAAAGGTTTTATTCGACTGAAATAAACAACACGCACAGCTAACTATGTAGTCCAAATCACTAAATGGTCACTGCAGTACGGAGTAAACCTGGACTGTTAATTTGACGGATCTGTAATGAAACACTGCCAGAAGTCTTTACTGCGTGTGTTTTATCCAAATATTATTTGTTGATTAAACATCTGACATGTGCTACTAACAGTGTGACGACAGTCAACAGATGGAGGCTCATCAGTCAGTCACTGCTGCTGCATCTACGTGTTCAACTCAAACACACTGTTTGTGTTCAGATTCACTCTCAAGGACAAAAGAAACGTGATAATTATGGAGCGCCACACTTGAAAATGGACAGCAGCTGTCATGATGACACCTGACGCCTGACCAGAGCGGGCACCTCGGCACTTACAATTTGTTTTTCCTGCTCTTGCGGCGAGCAGCGGGGGCGGTGGCAGCGGGGGCGATGAGCTGAGAGAGCTCCGGCAGGGCGTCGGCCAGCGGCCTCATGTCTCCCACCACGGGCGTGGCCTGCCTCCGGGCCTCGGCCGCCTGCTGCTCCTTGGCCTGTTTGATGGAGCTGATCTCTGAGAGGAGGCAGAGGAATGCACAGCAGAGAGAGAGCGAGTTACCTCCAAGCTAAACACGATGAGACGTGAATGTCAGTGAAGGTAAGAGCTCTCCATCTGGGACACACACAACTCCGTTTACAGAAAAAAAAGCAGTCTGAAGCGTGTAACAGATCAAAGGTCCAGAGAAACGATGCTAGTGTTTTGCAAATGCCCTGTTCATATAAAGATGGCCTTTAAAAAGCGTTCATCTGGCTGTGCACACACAAAACAAGTGGATTTTCATCTCTAACAACGTGGCTTTATTAAATGAAGACTGATCTGCAGTACTCAGAGATCAGCCTGACGAAAGAAGAGAATGATAAATGAATCCATCCCATCTAAAGCATGTTTTTCTTTCTGAACTCTTTTCTTTTGTTCCAAGAATGTCTCATTCACAAATGATTTCTTATTTTCCCTCTGAAGTTCGACCACAAATGCTGGTGTGTCCTGGTAGAAGAGGTGCATCCCAAAAAATAAAACATCAAAAAAAAGGTTAAAATCTCAGGAAACATTTGCAGGCATTTAAAAATAATTAGCTGATTAGAGCTCTTCTCATGTCAATATTTCCGTATTAGAAATTCTTTATTCTAATACATTTTGAGCAACTGGAGTTTTTATTTCCATGAGCTGTAAGCCCAAAACAACAGAAGAAGCTTAAAATATTTCACTTTATGCTTAATGAATCTAGAATATATGAAAGTTTCACTTTTTTAATTAAATTACAGAAGAAAATGAACTTTTTGATGATATTCTATCCATAATTATCTTTAGATGCACCTTTATGTAATACACCTATATGTAATATAGTACTTCAATGTCCTCAGTTTGATTCCATGTCATACTTATCTTCTCCCTGTTTTTTTTCGTGATACTTCTTAATAAAGATATTTAAAAAAACGATAGTGGGACGGGGTTATAGGTTTGTTGAGCCGCTGAGAAAACAAGCAAGTGATTTCTCAAATATCATTAGGCTACCCAAAGTGAAATCCACAAGCAAACAGAAAAACACTAAGCCAGGCCAGCGAGCGACTGTGAGGCTGCACTTACACACATGTATTAAGGAGAACAGGACACTACGTCCATAAATGACGGCCGAATCCTTCCTATAAAGTTGCTCACTGAGCACATATGCCGCAAAACCAAACCATTTCCAATCATAAGGCTTTGTTAGCCTGTAAAAATCCCAGTGGTCAAACTCTGCTATCCCCACCCTGTGCCCGTGAACTGAAAAGCTAATATTTCATTCTAATTTTCTTCTAATTCCTGCAAACTGTTAGCCATGGAGCCGCTCTTGGGTTTCAGCAGGATTGAGACGCACAGCCATTAGCGCCTAATTATACGCCTGAACAGGATACGTGTTGTGTTACCCAGGAATTGATTGGCTCAGCGGAAGGGTACGGTTACAGGCCTGATCGCAGTTGTGGGAGATGGTGATGATGTTGAAGGTGTTGGCCAGCTTTTTCAGCAACATGAAATTAAGGAAGATTCAAAGATCGGCTTCTGTTTTCGGCCTCCTCCACTCTAACCTTAAGGTTTCTTTTTCAAGAGTCGTTTACCCAAGACTTATATAATATTGTGCTCATTTTAATTAACTCTGAGTTATATAACTGCTACATAATCCATCAACCCATGTTTTAAATGTACCTCATGGCTGGGATTAAGTTCTGCTCTATTTATTGCCAATCACCCCGTCCTCACTGGAACAAATAGAAGTCTCACCAAAACGTAGTCCATATTGCCCAACAAACTGTATCATATTTCTTATATTGGAGCCTTAACTGGGGGAATGAAGTCTGCAAAAAACGAACCACTGAAAATTAAATAAACAAGACATTGGATTAAAATGTAACTTCAATGTGTTGGATTAAAGCTTCACATCTCGGTTTCACGGTTATGACAAAGAGCGGTTTCAAACCCATTTAAGCACGCTGTCTTTTTTAAATTCTTATTCTTTATTGACGTTTTACAGCGGTTGGCATTACCGCCACCTACTGGATTAAATGGTGCAAAATATTATCAGTGTCCACCCAAAGTGATTCCACTCACAACTATAGTCCGTCTAATTATTTTTAAGTTTTATTTTTCTAACCACTGGTGTAATTCATGTATCTGTACATTCCTACTGAAGTGGTGAGTGTTGATAGAAACTCACTGTTGAGCCATCTCTCCCTCCTCTCCTTCATCTTCTCTTTCTTTGGCTTGACTTTCTTCTCTTCTGGGCCTGTGAAACACACACACACACACAAAGTTACGTGACAGCACACATCAAACCCGGCTGGGCTCCACTTAGCAGAGGGAGAAGTCTACTAATTAAACATGAAGAGAGGCAAATTCATAAATGTGTTAAAGACACATCAAAGGTGGCGAGGGAATGACTTGGCTGCAAGCTACAGCAAGCCTCCACCCTCCCCTCATTAAGAGAGAGTTGAGCTGAATGAGGTGAGATAGGGAGGAGTGGATCATCTTTTAATGAATGCGTTTCTTCCCTTATTGTCCCTTTATTACAAACGTCAGCAGCTCCATCTCCATGAAAACTGAGAGAACTTTGCCTGCTGATAAAGATGGGGATGCAGTGAAGGTTAAAGAAAAAAAAAGCCTAGTAAGAAGCCATTGAGTGTGGATTTTTTTTTAGTCAAACTAATATTTTTCAAAAATCAAGAACAATGTTTCATTCTGAAAACCTTTAAAACATGATTGTGTCCAGTTTCATTTATTTTAAGCATTTGTGTATATTACATAAGTTAGTTCGCTAATTAGCACTTTTGTGTTAAGATGTTTTTTGTTGAGGAAAAGGGACTGAAAAAATATTTTTTCTTAATTTTACTCATGCATATTTGTTCTACCTCACATTTGTGAAGTGATCCCCTGTTTGGCCCCTGTGTGTTCTGACCACAAAGAAAAGTTTCAAACCACAATTAACTTTCACTCAGGAGCAAAAATCAGCCTATAAACCTGAACAAAATAATGACTTTACATTTATCTTGATAATTATCGCTATCAAATGATTTTTGGGTTTTTTTGTGATAACATTTTTAGCCATATCGCCCAGCACTAAAAGTAAAAGTAAATGATAGTGCAGGTGTCCCGCCCCCTGCCACTTGTTGGCTGTGATGCAGTTTCATTGTCTGAGGACATTTCTCTGGAGTCTTAACTAAAATGACCTGGACTCGATACAAATCTACAACAAAGAAAAAGAAAAGCACAAATCTTGACCTGGCCTAAAGGCCCCTCGCGTACTTTGGGAGCCACTGTTCGGACTTCAGAAATGAAAAAGACTGCAGCAGATTATTTATCCCACTGAATCATGGGATAAATCTGAAATAAAAAATGAATAAATCATGTAATTTAATGGCATAAATAATGGATTTAATCATGGGAATACTGTTGGAGAAGACAACAGCTCCTTTTCAGAACACAAAAGAAATGTAAATGTGAGAGTAAAAGTAAGTAAACACACTTAACGTAGTCCAATCTACTTTCCCTTTAGTGATAGGAAAATCAAGCTAAAGCTTTTTTTTAATGTCACCTTATCAGCAAAGCCACCTTGAGGTTCCCTGTGGTCAGGACATCCTGAGGGCCAGATAGGCGAGGGTGGCACAGATAAAAAAAGAATCTGTGTGTGCACGCTTGTTTCATTATATTCGTGGGGTCCAAGAACTGGCAATCCACTTTACTTTTGGGGTCCGTAAGCTTTGTGGGGACCAAAATGCTGGACCCCACAATTTTAAAAGGCTTTTTGAGGGTCAAGACTTGTTTTAGGGTTCAGTTTAAAATTAGGTAACGGTGTTCACATGTAGTTGTGATGACTGAGCTTAGAGTAAGGGGCTAAGACGAGGTTGTGTGTGTGCGAGAGAGAGAAAAATACAAAATAAATGTCATGCTATTAGTGCCAAACCTCCAGACATATATTCAAATTTAGCAGTAGTCCAGTTACGTGGTATAAAAAAAAAATAGACTCCTGTTTTTTTTAGAATAATAAAGTAAAAGTAGTTGAAACATGGGAAACAATGGTGCAAGGAAAAGACATATGCACGGTGAGCTGGACCTACAATCATTATTCATTTCCTTTTCTGATCTTCATAACAGTGGAAAGAGTTAACACTGACAGAAGATGATAATGGCTGGTGTGCAGATGTCACAAAACACACACAACTGCTGAGAGAGGAAAGATTCTCTCACGGGTGAAGAGGAAAAATAACCACACCAAGAACAACATCAGTGATTGGGCTTTTCCATGATCTGCTCTTAACAACCCGCGATAGTGTTTTCTCCCACTGTATTGCTCACTTCCTCTCTTTCCTCCCTTTTTGCACTTCATCCCCTCAGTAAAATGATGGGAAAATTCTGTGATAGTACATGGTCCACCAGTAGAGAACTGGGTTAACTGGGCAGTTTTTACATTTTAAAAACCATGAGGAGGTCTTACAATTTAAGAAAACCCTGGAGATGATATCTTCAACCTTCTTGAGTTTGATAGTCGAATCAGGCTCCGCTCATCAAAGCATCGACTATTTGAGGTCAGCCCTACTTGCCTGCGTACTTTGCGTGTACCTGGAGGATTAAACCTGAATCCACTAGGCGGCAGACCAGGACCGGGTCATCCCACGACACCAGATTATCTTCTTTGAAAATCTCTGAACTCGCACATGATAAACAAACAAAACATAGCAAACAAAGATTTTCACAGTAACACTCAACGCTTGGCTAGCTCCCTCTCCTAATTTCTTCAAAGGACATCTAAGTGACAGGTGCTGTTATCTGAGCAGTTTAAGTCTTAAGGAACAGTGAGTAATGTGTGCGTAGTGAGTGTGTGGGTGAGCAAAACCCAAAACGCGAGCGTCAGTAATGGTGAAAGCTTGTAAAGTAAGGTGAAAAAGCATGGACCATGGAGGAGATCAGGTTAGTAATGCAAATTAGGGATGCAAACTTTTACTTGGTAATTATCCAGAAATACTTTAATGAAAAAATATGCATCAAGATGCTTCGATAGTTGTTTTATAATCGCAGCCCTCTGAATCTTTGAATTGAATTGAATCCTTAATACTCACCACTGCTTCGTCACTTGTGATCGAACGTTTCAAATTCAAAGGCCCAGGGTAGTGAAAGCGAATTTCTTAAATTTGAGTTGTTATCATTAAGATACAAACCAGCTTCAAACTTCACAGTTATGACCGTTGTATTCGCCTAAGGCTGTTTATTGTAGTTACCGTGTTCTCCAGTGGTTCCAGGAGGTCAGTGAATGTGTCATAGCAGTCAGCGAATGTGTGATATGTGTAGAAGCCTGTCAATCATTTCTTGTCCTATCTGTGATTGGCAGTTGTTGTTGTTCCTGCTAGCCCGGGGGAGTGTTAGTGTGACAAGTTAAAATCGACATTAATAATTTGTATATAAGTTAATCAAGTATAGTAAATTCATGGTCTGTGATGTTAAAATGTTTACTGATGTTAAAATATGGTAAGAAATTATTTTGCAGAAGTTCATAAGAATGGACCATAATCATTAAATTGGGTAATTTAGTCAAAATATAAATATTATATTTTAAATATATTAAATATAAATATTAAAATAGTCTTACATAGCTTATTTCATTCTTGATTGTGTAATTTGGGATGTAAAAGTGTTAATTTACGATTTACAAGGTGATCTTGATCTAGAATCCGGAGACTGACACCTTCCGTTTCCGCCCACATGCCTGGGGATGTCGTGGATTATTCCTCCCCATTTTCAGGTATGCTGTCGTTGTTAAGCAGAGTTAGCATGATTGTAATAATCCACTAACATGTCAAAGAGATTTCAAGTGTGTTTGTGTGACATTTTGAGTGAGTTAGAACTATGTTTTGCCGAGTGTAGTAAAGTGTGTTTTAGCGAACTCCCAGCTAATTAGCACTGATCAACCCGTAGCCGAGCAAAGTGTGTCGCCATTTTGTGTGAATACACATGTACGCTCATTGTGGTGTTTCTTTGGTGATTTGTGTAAGAGTTTACAGAGTTAAAGCTATTTTGTGGTAACAGTAACATTACAAAGCGTGTTTACAGAAGTATAAAGTAGTTTTGCTAATGTGTTAGGAAACAGTCATTTACTTGCTATTTAATGGCTGATTACTTTCTGGATGCTTAATTACTTTTTCTACTAATAGACATATTTTGTTGCAATGTGTTAGTCTCATGGGACTTCAGTCTTTGTTGTTATTATAGATATGTTCTGCCTGAGTAAGGAGTATGTTTCAGAAGAAGTGTATGCATTCTCTACATCTTAGCATTTCCTGTATAAATTGTATACACTGTTTATTTTTGTACAAGAATTGATTAGAGTAAAAATTCTCGCTGAGGAAACATCTCTTTTCACTCTCGTCATTATTCTTCCCCATTTTCAGGGGCGTAACATTAGCCTCGGGACAAAGAGGGTGAGCCTTTCATTTAGGGACGCTACAGTTGGTCCAATGGTGAATGGTGGCACCGCTTCTTATGTCCATTTCGAAGCACCAGAGGGAAAATATTTCAGTCCACACTTATAATTATTATATAAAATTATAAATTTGTGTTCTAATTCGGTCCTTTTGGTACTGGTTGTATAGGAACTGGGTTTCGGTACCCAACCCTAATTATAATGTAATTATACATTATACTCTACCAATTATAACAAGGCTTTAAACTAAAAAAATATAAGGTTTCCAATATCCGCCAATGTATAACTGACTCTTGATTCTTTGCCAAAGTAACTGAAGGGGAACAGCCACTATGTGAGTATTTATATTACTTCAAATGACCTAATTATTCTAAGGGTTCGGATCATGAAACAAAACATTGACTGTCCAATGAGCTCCAACCATTTGCTCCATGCGTGTGTGAACAGAAGGAAAATCAATGGGTCCTTCCCTGAATGAAGCGCAGTGTTGTAATGGTGCATTATAGAGGCCTGAAGGCAGTGACTTTGTAATTTACAATGCAGGAAAGACCTTGACCACCATTTCTCAGAATGGTCTGAGGGTAAGAGCAGAAACTAGATTTAAGACGATATATGGGTTTGCTGATATTGGGTCAACACTGGTCATCTTTTAAAAATTAAATATCGGCAAATCAGTGTCATCTCTGAAATGTTGGATTTAATGTGCTTAACATATATTTATTATAGATTGATCAATAATATATGTATTAGAGTTCTGTGCATGAAAAAAGGTTGATGAGTCACAAAATTTACATGTCAAAATATTCCGACATGTT